TGTTGAGTAATAATAGAGCCAACATGATGCTACTGTCCAAAACATTAGCAGGGGCTGCAACGAAGAAAGTGACATGAAATTGCCACAAGAAACATTTAAGCCAAAGTGAAGGAAAAGATGAGTAATTTATCACATATACACATGGGTATACACATGAATGACATTCCTCATAACCTGACTCAAGGATTATGAAATAACAGAACACGTTACCAAGGACAGAGCAGGATGTCATTAGGCGAGAGAAGCAGTACGTGCATGGGAAAGATGNCACACACACACACACACACACACACAACTGCTTAAGTTGGAGGCACCAAGTGGGATTTAAAGGAATTTTTCTTGGCACCTAAATGCCCCCGGTCTGCTGCACATCTCTGTGTTCTTTCCCCTGTTGCTTCACCAAATCCATCTTCTATCTTCTCCTTTATCCTCCTGCATCTTTCTTTCCTGTCTTTCAAAAGCATCCACATCATATAATTTCTCAGGTATTTATAAAATCATAAAACTAAATGTTTCTTAAAGTCACCAGATCTTGTTTCCTTGCCTTTTCATAGGATCACACATAACTTGTACTCAGGGATGACACTGAGAATACACTACATAAATGTTGAGTAATAATAGAGCCAACATGATGCTACTGTCCAAAACATTAGCAGGGGCTGCAACAAAGAAAGTGACACGAAATTGCCGCAAGAAACATTTAAGGGCCGGCCCGTGGCTCACTCGGGAGAGTGTGGTGCTGATAACACCAAGGCCCCGGGTTCGGATCCCATATAGGGATGGCCGGTTCGCTCACTGGCTGAGCGTGGTGCTGACAACACCAAGTCAAGGGTTAAGATCCCCTTACCGGTCATCTTTAAAAAAAAAAAAAAAGAAACATTTAAGCCAAAGTGAAGGAAAAGATGAGGAATTTATCACATATACACATGGGTATACACATTAATGACATTCCTCATAACCTGACTCAAGGATTATGAAATAACAGAACACATTACCAAGGACAGAGCAGGATGTCATTAGGCGAGAGAAGCAGTACGTGCATGGGAAAGATGNCCGGAAAGAAAAGATAATGCTTTCTAAGTGGTTTCCAAAGACGGCCTGTAAACACATTTTTTACAAAGAACGGCAATGCACTCTCTAACTGGGCCTATCCTGAGGAACCAACAGTGCTCACGAAGGACACTTGTCTGGCAGGGTGGGCTTCACGCTACAGTTGGCTGTCCTGGCAGGATGCAGGGAGGGGAAGGAGTCTCTCTGAGGTTAAGCAGCACATCTGGTGGGTACCACATCTGGCCAGGGTGAGCCCAAAATGCATGACTCATTGGCCTAGCCTGGTCTACCCTCAGGGTGGCTGCCCAATGAAAACTCTGGGAAGAACTATGAAAAGACAGTGAAACTGGATGTTTTAAACAATAAAATTCATTAAATTAGCATGTACAACAGTTCAAATGTCTCATTTGTACATGATTCTTTAAGAGAAAGATTTGAAGTACATAGCATAATACTTTTTAATTTGTATCAGGTCATGAACCCTATGCCAACAATGAATAATAATAAAAGCTCACATTTATGAGAGGCTGGCTTGTTAGCTCAGTTAGTTAGAGAGCAGTGTCATAACCACCAAGGTCAAGGGTTCAGATCCTCACACCGGCAAGGTGCCAAAAACAAAAAAAGCTCACATTTATGTAATTTTTGCCATATAACTACAGACCATGCCAATGCCTTTCACGATCCTCTTACTTAATTTTCACCCAGGAT